TGCCTTTTGAAATTTTAAATTTACACCATGTTAATAATCTTACTTTCTGGTCTACACTTGACATCTATATGTCCCAATTTTTTAAAACACATTTTTCTTAAAGAAATGCCGGATGGCCAGGGCTTCGTGACAGGGGTTGGTGACCGACCCCTCACTGTGCAAGGGGACCCGTGCGAATAAAATATTTCCAGAATGTGCGGGCCCTCCCACATGTGTGTGATCGGTCACCGAGTCCTATCAATTTGCCCTGTCAGTGTAGTGCAGTTCTTTTTCTTATATTCATTTCCAATCATATAATTTATAAGATCTACAACTTTTATTAATATTTCAAAGACACGTTTCATCAGCTTCTATCAACAATCTGAATTGATCAATAAGACCAAATAGAGGCTTATATTATTTTTGCGCAATCCTAAATAAATATTTGAGATGTTTTGAAAATGAGTCTTTCTATATTCGAGGACATCGTTATTGGGTATCAAGACCCCGAATATTCAATACTTATGACAAAAAAATTGTCCTTGCTAATATTTAACTTATGTTTTAATTACTCGAATGTATCGACTAAACTCTTAAACAAAATTGGTTGTTTTACTAATGGAATCCACGCTGGCTGAAGAAACAAGTTTAGTACTGCAACTTCAGGTCATATGGGCATGTACTGTCCTTGTCCCGCTGCCATAGAGGGAATCTTTTTGTAAAACAATTATACACGTTTTACGGGGGCGCAACTACAGCATACTGCTTTGAAATAAGGGATAAATATGAGCCTGTTTGCTACGTATTCTCATTTTTTACAGTAAATCAATTCTCATTTTCAACCACACATTCTTCAATAAAATAATATTTTTCATCACATCAATACTTTTTTCTTATTTTTCAACCACACACTTCCCATCATATCACTATTCAAAAATCAATTTTTCCCCCAAAAATTCCTACCAAACACACTCTATGAGGCTGTCTGCTGCAGATTTTCTTCTTGATTATTAGTGATTTTGTTACCGTTGAATGATTTAACGGTAAAAAAATAATCACCAGTTGCAGCCTTTTCTCTCACAAGTGTCAGGCCCAACGTTTAAAAAATCAATTCTTACAAGATGAAAATCTGCACCAGACAGTGCCTATATATCTTGCAGACCCTATACTTGTAGCAAATCTCATTTCTTAAACCTTATTTTTAATTACACATTCTAAAAAAAAAAATTGGCTACACATATTTTAAAAAATCTTTACCAAAGGGGATTATTTTTGCTATTGTAAGGAT